CCCACCCCTGGTAACCAACAAAGAAAATGTCCTCCAATATATAAACCTTTCCTTAACTTTCACAATAACGGACTAATACAATATTTGTCCTTTTGTGATAGATTTACAAGCATTCTTGAGAAAGCAAACAGAACTAAAGAAAAGAAATAAACACTAAATAGAAGGAAACGTTTTTTGGATGAAACAGATTTTAATATTCCAATCCAAGAGTTTTACTGGTGCTTGCTTTCATAGCACATATATGAGAACTTTTCTCAGTTCCAGCCAAAATAAATGAAATAAGACCAACACTTAGATACACCTTGGCAGATGGAAGGGAAGAGAAAATGTTCCTTATTTGCACATGATATAATCATTAACCTAGAAAAACTAACAGAATCAACAAATATGACTCAAGAAACGTTTCCTTATAGATATACATAATCCAACAAAGGTCAGTATCTTTTTCTCTCTATCAACACTGCCAGGGTGAACATGTTAGAAAAAGTCACAGTAGCAGCAGAAACAATAATATATCTGGGAACTAACAATGACTTCATAAGGCCTCTCCTTAAACAACCTTTAAAAGTCTAAAAGTCTATGCACATGATTTAAATACATCTATTCTATGCTCTTAATGAGATAGTGTAATACCGTAAAAATGTTAATCCTCTCAAATTAATCAGAAACTTCAATTAATTCTAATAAAGATTACTGTTCAATTTAACAAGCTCAACAAACACGTATTACAGTTTATATTGCAGAATAAAGGTGTGTGTTTAGGTTAGTCAACCTTAATAAAAAGCATATAGAAGGTGGACATATCCTACCATACACTAAGACATGCTACAATAAAAAGTGTGTAGTATTAGTGCAAAAACAGGCAATTAGAAAAATGGAACAGAATCGAGCACCCACAGACACATATATATGGGAACTTAGTGTATTATAAAAATGACATCACAATTCAATGGGAAAAGAACAGATTATTTAGTAGATGATACTGAGAAAACCAGCTCACCATATGGAGGAAAACAAAATTGGATTCCTATATAAAACCACATACATCAGTGCATTCTAAATGGATAAACACCCAAACATGAAAGGTGAAACAATACAGCTCATAGAAGAAAATATAAGATCTTTGTGACAAGGAAAGCCCTCTTCAACAAAATTCCAAAAGCATAAAGTATAAGGCAAAAAAATTGAATAATTTAACTGTTAAAATGAATGGTTCTATTCAATTAAGGATATCATGGAGAAAGTTAATTACAATACCTACAAAATAGAAGAATATAATGTCTAAAGTTCATATGAGATTAGGATCTAAAATACTCAAGCAACTTCTGTATCAACAAAAAAAAATATAACAACTTCAGTGGAAAAATGGACAAAGGATATGAATGGGCAGTTTATAGAAAAACACAAAAATCAAGCAAGTGGTTAGTGAGATGCTCAAATTCAATGGCAGTCGGAGAGATACGAAGTATGTATAGCATTTGTCTGGCAAAACTGAGGCAGCTGGCTAATACTGGTGGAGTTGTGGGCATATCCCCCAAACCCACTGCCATCGACTTAATTCCAATAGTAGCCCTTATGTGCAGCTAGTGGACACAATGGCAGAAGCATTCTGAAGACAAACCTGGCACTACTTACACCAATTAAGTACGTGTATATCCTATGACCCAACTATTTTTTTCCCTAGGTATATATTTATGGTAGTTCAGTTTGTGTGTCAACTTGGCTGGGCCTGGTTGAGTGGCTGGGCAGCTGGTGGTAGTTATTCCCCATGATGAGACTGGCAATCAACTCTATGGTGGGATCTACCACAAGCAGCTGAGTAGCTGCCTTTGGGATGTAGTCTGCTTCCTGTATATAAGGAGAAGCTTTGAGAATGGTCTCTAGCCTATGGCCTGCTTGGACCCTGCACGTAGCTGTGTTGTTGCTCAGTAGCCTGTTATGCTCTGCTGACCTTGGGACTTACAATGGACTTAAGTTAATGGCCTGCCGTGTGGTTTGGTAACATCGGGACTGTGCCTTTTTACTTTTTCACCCTTGGGGCTTCTCAGCCTCAGCAGCCAGCAGCTGTCTGAGTGAAGAAATGCCTCTAGCTCCAGTGGGCCGGGAGTAGGAGGCAGAGCTGGACCCCAAAGTTGAGGGGCTTTCACCCAGCCCCTAGAGCCTGGCACTTTGAACTTGGACTAAAAGCCTCCAAATTGTAAGAATAAACTCCTGTTGTTAAGGCCTTCCCATTTGTGGTATATTCTTGTCAGAGCGGTACTAGGTAACCAGAACAATATCCCAAACATATTCTCACAGAGGTACACAATTTATATATATATATATATTTTACATTAAAAATGGATCATATGGAAGATAAAAGAAGGGGTATGAAGGATAAAAAGAAATACATGAATCAATGAATGAAGTGAGGTGGTCCTACCTGGATCAATGATTACATGTACTATGAACTAATGAAGGAGCCCTGGTAGCATAATGCCTAAGGCACTTGACTGCTAACCAGAAGGCTGGCTGTTCAAACCCATCAGCCACTCCTCGGAAGGAAGGTTGGACAATCTACTTCCATAGTGATAACGCCTCGAAAACCCAAGGAGGGGTCTCTGTGTGTCGGGTCCGACTAGACGGCACATGACGACAACAACAACAACAACAACAACGTGAACTAATGAGCATCATTACGTCAGCACTTCACACATGGGGTCAAATGGTGGTGAAAATAATGATGGATGAGGGAGGTGGTTTCAAACATGCTGGAAAGTTTTTTGAATTACAGGATAAACAAAAAGTTCTTTGCATTTAAGACAAAAATGAGGCTGTTCAGATATCTCTGCAGTTTTAAATACTAGAGGACAAAAGGGCAGTATCTTGCCATGAGAGCAGAACTGGCTGGGGCACAGCTACCATTACTGTACCTTTCAATCAAAGATTCTACAGAAGAATCCTGATCAAAAGGGGTAAAATGCAGAACAGAATTTCATATTTTCATGGTCTTGACTTCCTGGAGCCATAGAGTCTGAATGAACTCCTGAAAATACTGCCCTAAGATAATCTTTAAAAATATAACCAAAAACATCCCTTAAATCTTCTTAGAACCAAACAATAGTTTAGCTTACTTAGCAAAAAAAAGTCTGCCTTGAGCATTATGCTCTTTTAAGAACTCTTTATATATGATCAAACCGACAACAGCAACTTGAAAGATTAGATAGAAAACTTAGGGGGAATGAGTTTATGCTAATGGGGGAGAACAACTTAGAAAAGGAGGGTGAGAATGGTGGCACAACTCAAGGAACGCAACCAGTGTCCCTAAACTGTGTTCACAGCAACAGCCATATTGGTTTATGTTTTGCTGTGTTCTCAACAACAACAAAATAAGTAAAATTGAAAAAAAAAAAAAAAGGAGGAAAGAAAAGAGCTATGTTTTAAGAGTTTAGAGGATAAAATAATTTTGAATTCAGGCAGCCAAGTAAGTTTTTCATGTGTGAAGGCAACAGATAACACTGACATACTCACAGACACAAAAATCATACCATCCATGAACACTTCTTAAATTAAAGATTCAACAACATTTTTAGGAATATGGAAGCAAGACCTCATTCATATAGAGATTATAAAATTACCTTTTGTAGAAAGAGGACAATCCTTACGAGCATCTGAGCACGGAGTTCTTCCAAGGTAAACAATGTTCGGGGAGTTCGAATGAAAATTTTGGTCTTCCCATAAGCGACATCATCTTGAAATCCACAATGTTCAATCAGTTTCTTGACAGCTTCTTTGTCCGAAGGAAGGTCATGGTTGGGCCAGGTAAATTCAGAAATCATCTTGTACCTGGGGGAAAAAAGAATAGGGCACATTTTATTTCCTCCTCTGATTTGTGATCTGAATCAAGTGATTGCCTCTCACTTGACTGTGAGGCAATGCACTGTTTGAGACTGTACACTCAGGAGTCATGTGTCTGAGTTCAAATATGATTCCACTACTTCTTAGCTCTGACGTGGGACAAGTTACCAAATCTTCCCGTGCCTCAGTTTCCTCAGGTTCTTAAGATGGGGGTAACTACATGTCTCATGTGATTGTGAGATTCAGTGATGCCAGAGTGCTTAAGACAGTGCCGGGGAGATATAGTTAGCACTCTGGTGGCGCAGCGCCTAAGACATTTGACTGCTAACCAGAGGGCTGGCGGTGCAAACCCACCAGCCACTCCTTGGAAAGAAGAGTGGAAATCTACTTCCATAGAGATACAGCCTCAGAAACCCAAGGAGGGGTTGCTATGAGTCGAATTGACTTGACAGCAATGAGTGTTATTTTTTTTTATGAACATTAGCAGCTATTATTATTATTTTCTTGAAATGTTCAACACGTATAAACATATTTTTTCCTATCTAGTTAATTACCCTCTATATCATGCCTAAGGCATTTGACTGCTAACCAGAGGCTGGCAGTTCAAACCCACCAGCCACTCCTCGGAAGGAAGATGGGGCAATCTACTTCTGTAGTGATACTGCCTCGGAAACCCAAGGAGGGGTCACTATGAGTCGGGTCTGACTCGACAACAAACAACAACAACATCCTTCCCAGAAACAGTAGCCTTTACTTTTCTCCATTTCCTACTCTCATTTTAATTTTAGTTTCAGATTATTATGACTTTTTTCTCCCTGAAAATCAATATTTGTTTAGATTTTACAAAAAGTTTTATTAACATCGTCTTCTGCATCTCCTGTTTCCCTTCTGCATCCATTCTCCTTTTTCCTAAAGTATATCCTACAGAGGATTTTTCAGAGAGGGTCTCTGAATAGTAAACCTTTGAGCCCTTCCTTGTCAGAAAGTGTTTTTATTTTACTTGTACTCGAGTGATAATTTGGCATGGAACATGATTCTAGGCTCAAAGTTTATTTTCCCTCACATGGAAGACACTACTCCTATGTCTATTTGCATCAAACGTTGCCAATGAGAAGTCTGTTATCAGTATGATTCTCATTCCCTGGCAGGCAGTTTTTTCTTTTTTCTTGAGAGGTATAAATATTTTGCTTTATCTCTAACATGCTGTAAGTTAACATTATGTATTTCAGATTTTTTTAAAAAAATTTTTGATATGCTTTACATTCAGTGTGTTCTTTTAACCTGAAGACACATCATTTTTTTTCAGTTTAGGAAAATTCCTAGCCACTGTTCAACTAGTGCTTCTTCCTTATTCTCTTTATTCTTTTCTTCTGCTTAAATGGGCCTTGGAACTCTGGAGCCACCTTATAAACAGCTTGACGCTTCTTTACTACCTCCCATCATTTTCTTTGAAAGAACTCCTCAGCTTGACTTTTCCGCCCACCAATTTGCATTTTCAAAAAGACAGGTTTAGTGCTTTTTTAAAAAATTAAAATTATAGTAATATTTACATACAGTGAAATGCACAGACTTAAGTATATGATTCAACAAGTGTTGACAAATGTAAACACTCAGGAAACTTGTATCTCAATCAAGATACAGAACCTCCCCATCTCAGAAAGATCCCCTGTACTCTTTTCTAGGTAATTCTACTGACCCAAAGGCAACCACTATCTGATTTCTACCACAATAAAGCAGTTTTGCTTCTTCTGAACTTCATATAAATGGCAGCATAAAGTATGTACTCTTTTGTGTTTATCATCTTCATCTTTTAACATAAAGTTTTAGATATTCATCCATGTTGTTGTTGTATAAGTAGTCATTCTCTTTAATGATGACTAATAACCAAAATATGAATATAAAACTCCAAAACCAAACTCCCTGCTGTCGAGTTGGATACAACTCATAGCAACCCCTCCTTGGGTTTCTGAGGCAATATCACTACGAAAGTACATTGCCTAACCTTCCTTCTGAGGAGTGCCTGAATATACAATTTACTTACACATTTCCCTATTGATAATTCATTCTTGTTGTGTTTAATCTGCTTTTCAATTTCTAAATCTTTTTTTTTTAAGAGCTTGTTTTACATTCAATGTTACATGTACATTTAGTTTCATTCCCCATTTCCCATGTCTAACCCCAACCCAGTCTCCTCCCCTCCCTACCCTGTAACCGTCCCCCTGTGCCCCTCCTATTTATGCACTCTTGTTTGTCCTGCATTTCCTCAATTTGAATGTTGTCCTCTGGTGTCCCGTGGTCTATTGCTCTAAGGGATGTATTTCCATAGAGTATGTGGGTGCGTCATCCTGGGTTGAGTGGTCTGCATGTACATATTGTTAACTATTGGGCTGAGAGCCAACCCAGGTGCAGAATGTATTGCAGGGCCATAGTATTGGGGGTCTCACCAGATTTCATCTGACCAGTAATTCTGGTCATTATTGAGTTTTTGGATTTTGTTCCACATTTTCCCTCCCACTCTATCCAGGATCTCCAGATTTGATCCCTTCCTGAGTGGAAAGGACTTCTAAATTTTTTAATGAATTCTTTTTAATAATTACTCATTTCTAACTTCATCTTACTATTTTAGGATTCTAATGCCCTCTCTTTATCTCAAAGATATTAAATACGTTTATTTTAATGTCCCTTACTCTCTGGGGTAAGGTTTTTCATTTGTTGAGTTTATTGCCCTTTTTTATGGTTTGGGTCTTTCTTAGATGCCTGGTGATGCTTTTGTGTTCTCTCATCTCCTGCTGTAGGATCCTTCTGTGTACATCTTCGTCTTTCTTGGCCTCTTGCAAGGTGGCTTTTTTTGTCATCACGCCCATAGTTCTTTCTTTGCAGCTGCTGAGGTGGTGACTTGTCCTGGTCCATATGACAATCTCCTGGTTCTACAGCAGAGGCAGAACCCAGCACAGCAGCTGGGAAGGCCTCCGAATGGCAGCTCGAACCTCACAAGCATACACTTCACTTACAACTGTGACCTGGGCTTGCTTCGGGCTCTTCCTGTCTGCTCTGTATCCAGGAGTGACTCACCTCTTTGGGGGTCACTGAGAATCCCCCCTTTGACTCCATAATACAGCTATGCATTTGCTTGGTTTTAAATACACATACTTTTTATTACAATCTAGTGTCACTAAGACCATAACTTCTTTGATCTTAAAAAACTAAGAAAAGGACTTAGAAATCCCTATGTTCTTCTTAATCTTAATATATGAGTATTTTCACCAGATGCTGTTTCCTACAGCATGACTTCAATGTCCAATAAATAAATAAACAAACAAACATACCAAAAATCTTTTGAGTTAAAAGTAAAAGAAACCCAATTTTGCACTAGCAAAATTCTTTGACCTCCTCCAAATCAAGCCTATTATTGTCCTCTTCATTTCAATGACTCCTCATGACTGGCCTATCATCTTAGGATAATGTATTCCCTGTTCAGTCCCATCCTGTATTGGCCCATTCTCACTTTGCTCAGCCTGATATTTAAGCTTCTGCTGATTATCTATATGCATCAACACAAAAACAAATTCTATGATTGAGCAATTGCTAGAATCAATTCTATGAGTTCTAACAGACTAGATAGAATCTGACACTGTTTGAAATCAAGACTCTGAATGAATACATCTCTATTCATGAAAACATTTGCTATCCAGCCTCAATAAAAATGAAAAGCCAATTTTAAAGACTGAATTCAACAAGGAAAATGATCAACTATGAGCATAACATTTTAATCAGTATAAAATTAAATGTGAAATTTCCAGGCTATTTTGTAATAAAGCTTTATTCATTTTCTGAATCTCCATTTAGTAAGTATTAAAACCATCTGTGTACTTTCATAAATTTTCAATTGCAATGGCTTTCACTTGTGCATACACACAGTCCTATACTCACTGCTGGAGAAAAACTAACAATGCTGGGTTGTCTCACCTTACGTTTAAAACCACAAATCTCAAATGGACACTCAGCTCTTCCTGGAAACCTCTTACTCAAACCTATGCTTTCCCACTCTCCAAAACAAGTATTTTCATTTCTCCTCAGACCTCCTACGCCACCTCTCCCAATCCTCATCTCAGCTCATGACCTTCATTGAGAAAACGGAAGCATTTCAAGAGGAAAATGATCTCTTTGCCATCTGTGAATTTCCAAGCCGCCCTCTGTATCTGTACTCATAGTCTCTGCCTTTTATCCTGCTGCTGTGAGTGAAGTGTCCCTTCTCCTATGTTAATGTGACAACCCTTCCACCTGTGCTTGGATTCCATCCCTTCTTGGCCTCTCAAGGATGTTGCTGTTATAATCATCTCCATCTCTCTTCTGCATCATCAGTTTCTCCCTGTTCTGAATCATGCCCACCTGCATATAAACATTTTCTAGCATCTCCTGAGGAGCTCTGGTGATGCAGTGCCTAAGACATTTAACTGCTAACCAGAAGGCTGGCAGTTCAAACCCACCAGTCACTCCTTGGAAGGAAGATTGGGCAGTCTACTTCTGTAGCGATACTGCCTTGAAAACCCAAGGTGGGGTCACTACGAGTCAGATCTAACTCGACGGCAGTGAGTTTTGGTTTTGTTTTTTTTAGTATCTCCTGACCTCCCATCCCACTCCAGCTGTTTCCATTTCTCTCTTCTCCCAAACTCACAGCCAATATTCTTGAATTGTCTATAGGTATCCAACTCCTCACTTGCTTCACTTTTTAATGCTGTTCAAATCAGACTCTAGCCCACCCTTTCTCCTCTGATCTCTATGGTGCCAAATCCAACAGTTAACCATTTGCTTTTATCTTACTTAATCACACAATAGTGTTTGATATAGTAGGTGCATTTTTCTCCTTGAAACTCTATTCTCTTTAGGCTTTTCTGACATAATCCTCTTCTGGTTTTTCTTCTACTTCATTAATTGTTCCTTCTTCATCTCTCTGTTGGTTATTTCATGTCAGACAACAAATAGAAATGTTGGCATGGGCCCCTTTCTCTTGTCTATCCAGTCCCAAAATTTTATATATAATTTATTTACTGAAGACTCCCAGATCTCTAGCCTGGACGATTTCTCAGAACTCCAGGTATGTAAATCTAATAACCTACTTACTATTTCTACTTAGATGTTTCAGGGGTATTTCAAATAACAGAGTTGAGAGACAAATCTTGACTTTATCTCTCCCATGTTTCTTGCCTCCCTCCCCAAATTGCTCTCACCCAATCTTCCTTATCTCGGCAAATGGTACTACCTTCACCCAGATGCTCAAGTCAAAATCTACTGTCATCCTTCATTCTTTTCTACTTCTCTCTCATCACATCTAAACCATGAGCAAGTTTTACTAACTCTACCCTCAAACCACATCCTGAATTGTCCTCTACTCTCACATCTGCTATAATCACCTTGTTTAAGGCACTATCATCAAGCCATCTCTCCTGGACTCATAATTGTTGTTGTTGTTGTTGTTGTTATGTGCCGTCGAGTCGGCCTCGACTCATAGCGACCCCTCCTTGGGTTTCCGAGGCAGTATCACTACAGAAGTAGGATTGTCCAACCTTCCTTCCGAGGAGTGGCTGGTGGGTCTGACAAAGAGGTCACAGTGGTCTCTTTAAAACATTTATAAAATTCTGTCACTCCCTGCTTAAAGCTTTCCAATGGTTTTCTATCATACTTAGCCAAAATCTGAACTGTTTAATCTGACTACAAAGTTTGACATGATTTAGCACTACTCATCTCTCTGATCTCATCTCATGCCATTTCCATGTTACTCATCATCCTTTGTCTACACTGAACTACTCTTCTGGTACCTAAAATGCCACACTTATAACTACAATGGAGCCTTTACCCCTTTGCTCCCTCTCCCCATGTGCTGTTTTCTTTGACCTTTGTAAGGCTGGCTCCTTCCTGTTATTGTTAACTCCCCTGATTTCTTTTCTGACCAACCAATCCAAAGGATTTTAATTTTCTGTTTACACTTTATATATTTATTCATTTTTGTTAGATCTGCAAAGCCCAGAACATAGGAATTGTCCAATAAATATTTTTTTTATTAACAAATGAATAAGCAGAATTTAAAACATTGCTCTTCTGATTCCTAATTGTCAACTATCACTATTATTAACAGTAAATCAATAATTTATTGTTAGTAATAATAATGATAGTGCAAAAAAATGCATTGACCTATGTCATTTTAGTTTTGTATGTTTCACTGTACATAAATTATATTTCAGTAAAATGTATTTTAAAAAATGTAAAATAAATTAAACACCTAAAACATAAAATAATAATAGTAGTTAGTAACAGCAATGATATCTAACATTACTGAGTGATTACTATATGCCAGGTACTATCCTAAAATATATATATATATATAATTCATCATTCCTCAAACCTCCTATGCCACCTCTCCCAACCCTCATCTCAGCTCATAACCTTCATTGAGAAAATGAAAGCATTTCAAGAGGAAAATCATATATATATATATTTTTAGATAGTACCTGGCATATACTAATCACTCAATAATGTTAGATATCATTGCTGTTATTAACTACTATTATTATTATTATGTTTTAGGTGTTTATTTAACATTTTTTAAAATACATTTTACTGAAATACAATTTATGTACAGTGAAATATACAAAACTAAAGTGACACAGGTCAATGCATTTTTTTGCACTATCATTATTATTACTAACAATAAATTATTGATTTACTGTTAATAATAGTGATAGTTGACAACTAGGAATCAGAAGAACAATGTTTTAAATTCTGCTTACTCATTTGTTAATAAAATATATATATATATAGGCGCTCTGGTAGCGTAGTGGCTAAGCACTTGACTGCTAACCAGAAGGCTGGCGGTTCAAACCCACCAGCCTCTCCTTGGAAAGAAGATGGGGCAATCTACTTCCGTAGTGATACTGCCTTGGAAACCCAAAGAGGGGTCGTTATGAGTCAGGTCCGACTCAACAGCACATAACAACAACATAAATCTTATCAATAAGTATATACAATTTGTTTCAACTGATCACATCAGGTAAATGCTTCTTGCTCAGGTTTTATTAGACAGTATCTCAAGTTCTTGTTATTATGGAAAATACCCCTTGTTTTCTAACATGACCCTGAAGGGAATTAGGGAAGATGTTTAAATTTTGCTATTAAGTTCCTGATGGTAAAAAGAAATGTTTGGGAAGTCTTCAGCAATTCTGAGGTCAGAGGACATCAAGGGTACCACACATAAGAAGTAAGTGGGCTACAGGGGCTCCTTTTTTTCCTTTCAGATATGAAGGGAATGTATTTCTAGTGAAAAAGAAAATACACACACACACATATATGCCAAATGTTTCCAGCGTGCATAAATTAACCTCAACACACATGCATACATACAAAGATAAAAGTGGGATCACACTTTATTTATTCTAAATATATATACATCCTTTGCAGCCAAATAATAGACAGGCCTATGAGGTGAACAGTAACACCAGGGAGGTATATACTCTTTGGAACAGTCAACCATAAGAGATCAAAAGGGTAGCATTTGCCCAGGGATAAAGCTCAGAGGCAGAAATGGATAGGAAAGGAGGACACAGGGAAATGGTAACCACAGGAAGGAAGTAGGAAGAGTGCTATTACATTGCGGGGATTGCAATCAATGTCACAAAATGAAATGTGTAGGAATCATTGAATGGGAAACCAATTTCTCTGTAAACTTTCACCCAAATCATAAAAACTTAAAAATAAATAAATAAATATACATCTCAATTAATCCTCCAGCAACATGCCTTATCCATTACACCACCAGAGCTCCTTAACCCTATGAGGTAGTTACTATTATTATCTCCATTTTACACATGAGGAAATGGAAGGATGAAACAGTTATATGATTTGCCCAAGGTCACACAGCTAAGAAATCATAAAGCCAGGATTCAAACTGCTGTTGTTGCTGTTGTTATGTGCTGTTGAGTCGGATCCAACTCATAGTGACCCCTCCTTGGGTTTCCAATGTGGTATCACTATGAAAGGAGATTGCCCAACCTTCCTTCTGAGGAGTGCCTGGTGGGTTTGGACTGTCAGCCTTCTGGTTAGCAGTCAAGTGTGCCACCAGAGCTTCCATGCCTAACTACTTAGTATCTTATTATAATCTGTAATACTGGTAATGCTAATTAGCATCAATTGGGCATACATTATGTGCCAGGCACTTAGGCTTGTCATTTAGGTTAATTTAATCCTCACAACAATAGGGCTGTGAGCTAGGTGTTGTTATATTCATTTTACAGATGTAAAAATAGGGTCAAAGATGTTAAACTTCCAGACCAAGATCATGTTGCGAATTAATGGTATGGCCAGGATTCTAACTCAGGTGTTCCTCTAAATCCACACACGTTCCAAAACAGAATCAACTTTTCCACATGGTCCATAAACCATGGAGTCAGGGACTCCTACTGATTCTGGGAAGGTATTTCATATTTGTAATTTCCTCAACTTTTGTTCATTCAACAAATGCTTATAGATCACCTATGTGGGCTGGTGTGAGGCTGTGTATGGGGAGGGCTAGGTAACTTTCAGTGCACTTTTAGGTTTTCCTGCTTGGTCTGTGCTCACCTGTGAAGAAACTTCTCATATGTCTGACGAAAGGCAAATCCTGCCCGACGCACCCTCACATTTTCCAGTAGGCCAAGGTATTCCACTTGATGTCGGCAGCGTTCATCATCAAATATCTGTGGGGATTTCTTGTCATTGGGTTTGATGCAACGCACGTAATAAGGTTCCTAAAGAAATAAATTCACAGATGATACATTTTGCTGGAGAAAAAGTCTAGACATAATCAGTGTTAACTGTGTCAAATTAAGCTCTGTGCCTCCAATTTCTCAAGCGTGTGGATAAAGTAGATATACCTAAGAATAAAGTCTTTATTCTTCCTTTCTTCCTTAATTTAAGGTTGGAAGTTCTCATGTGAAAAAAACTGAAAAATAAAAGGTTTGGCAAATTGGAACAAATGGACTAGGATACTGAATGCAAATTATTTTTATGTATAAACAGAACATGTACACAAAGAAAACTAAACAAATTTCTAAGGAATATAATCAGAGATAATTAGAAAATCCCTATCTGTTGGGAAATTAAGAAATATACTTCTAAATGACTCTTGAGTCAAAGAGAAAATTACAGTGGGAATTAGGAAAGATTTTGAACTTAGTAATTTATGAAATCATGTCAGCAAAGTGATCTTTTAGTATATCGCATCATTGAAGAATATTATAAGGAAATTTACAAAACAGAAACCAGTTGAGTGGAATTTGACCAGTATTTACTGATTATGCACAGAAGTGGTAACCCGGGTTTAGATGTGAATGATCAACTAACAGGTGGGGGGAAGCCCTTTCATCCTGTTTAGTAATATAAAAATCCTCAGATAAGGAATCTAGTGAAAACACTTTCTCTATATTTAATCAGTGTTCTGTCTCAATTTATAAATGCCGCCTCCTCTCTCATTTATAAATACCCAGACTGACTCAACCTAAGAAATCCTAAATTTGACAAATTCTGAGCCTTATAAAGGTTAAGTTGCAAAAGTTAATAGTGATCTTATTCTTATCCATTTTTTAACCTATTTCTCCCGATATTGTACGTGGAAAAATCATTTGTAAAAGTGCACCACTCAGTATTTATAAGCTAGAAGACACTGTATGTATCCGGGACCTGCTTTGCCAGCACTAATCTGCCAGTTTGTCATAATGTGGTAGCCACTTGCATGTTGCCATGGTGCTGAAGCTATGCCATTAGTATTTCACATATTAGCAGGGTGAGCCCAGCTCCTGCTTTGGTCTTAGATGATTCTGTTGCTCTAGTAGAGGTACTCATGGGCTGAGTGTAACTTCTGAGCACCTTGTGGGGGTAGGTGATAAAGCTGGAACCAAGGCCTGTCTGGCATGAGGCACTGGGCTTTGGTCTCGAATCCTGAATAGCTGAATCTGGGAGTTAAAGGTGGGCAGAAAACAAATCAGCCCTGGCAGGAGTGGAATCACGGAGCTACTGCAGGTCCTGAAATTGAGTTAAGGTGATCCCATTCTGCCAGAATTTGTCTCACATCCTTTTAAAACCTTTACTTTCAACTTTTCTATGTCCTTATGTTTAGGTATCACTCATAAATAGCATATACTTGTATTCTTTACATATATCTGTGTTCTGGTGGGCAGTGCCTAAGGCATTTGAGTGCTAACCAGAAGGTTGGTGGTTTAAACTCACTAGCTGCTCCGTGGAAGGAAGATGGGACCATCTACTTCTGTAAAGATTTACAGCCTTGAAAACCCAATGGTAGTCACTATGAGTCACAATCAACTCAATGGCTGTGGGTGTGTGTTTTCTTTTTCCTTTCGGTTATTTAATCTAGTTTGGCAATTTTTATCCTATTGCATTCAATGTAATTACTAATACATGTGGATTTATTTTTACCATTATAATTTGTGCTATTTGTCCCAACTTTTTTTGTTTATCTTTTTTTGCTAATTTTCCTGCTTTGTAGAATTGTTTTCCTCTCTCTCTCTCTCTGTCTCTACTAGTTTGGAAGTTATCAGGCCCTATCTATTTTCATGGTTACCCTAGAAATTTTAATATGTATTAGTAACTCATCAGAGGTGAAAGCTAAGTATTTTTATCTTCTTCCTGAGGATCGTAAACACTTGGACTACAATTACCACCCTTCCAACATATACGCTATTTAATTCTAATTTGTATTTTTAAGCCCACAAAATATTTTTTAGAGTCAGTTTAATTACATGTGTCTGCATATTGACCAATTTATTCATTCTTCTTCTTTTATTTTTTACATCTCAGACTGTCTTTTGGCATCTTCTTTTCCTGCCTGACAGATATCCTTTAGAATTTCCTTAGTGAGATTTTAACGTTGGAAAATTCTCTCTCTCTCTCTCTTTTTTTTTTTTTTAAAGATTCTTTATTGTGCCCTTGTTCTTTGTGTGTGTGTGTGTATGGAGTTCTGGGGCATAGTGCCGATGGCATTTGACTCTAACCAGAAGGTTGGTGGTTCAAACACACCAGCCACTCTGTGGAAGAAGACTGGGCAATCTACTTCTGCAAAGATTTACCACCTCAAAAACTCAAAGGGGGTCGCTATGAGTCAGAATTGACTCGATGGCAATGAATTTGTTTTTTTGGTGTGTGCGTGTGTGTATATATACACACACATACATATATATACACACACATACATATATGCATATATATATGTATACATATGTGTGTCTATGTGTATATATATATATATATGCATGTGTGTGTGTGTGTGTGTGTTTTCTCTGGGTATAAAGTTTTGGTTTACAGTTATTTTCTCCCAGTCTAACTGCTGTTCCTTTGAAGCTAATCTATCTTTTCTCTGGTTGCTTTTAAGATACTTCCCTTGTCTTTGATGTTCTGGGAGTTCCCTAGTTGCCAAGAGGTAGATTTCTTTGACTTTTTCCAATTTGGGATACACTGGGCTTCCTGAATCTGTGGGCTCTATACAGTGATGTCTTTCACCATTCTTGAAATTCTCAGCAATATCACCTCAAATCTTACTTCTTCCTCATTCTCTCTTCTTCTCCTGTAAACGCTGATTAGATGCACGTTAGACCTCATTTTATCTTATGTGTTTCTTTTATATTTTGCATGTATTGGTCTCTTTGCATGAATTTTGGATAATTTCTTTATTTTTTTAAATTTCACTAACTCTTCAGCTTTGTCTGTTGTTGTTGTTGTTGTTTGCCGTCGAGTCGGCCCCGACTCATAGCGACCCCTCCTTGGGTTTCCAAGGCAGTATCACTACGGAAGTAGGATTGCCCAACCTTCGAGTGGCTGGTGGGTTTGAACCGCCAGCCTTCTGGTGAGCAGTTAAGTGCCTTAGGCACTATGCTACCAGAGTCTAGACAAATGTTAAACCTGTCCATTAAGTTTTAGATTTTAATTATTTTTAAATTAATAATTTATTTCTACAGATTTTCTCCTTTTTCTTTCTCATATTTTCAGGATTTTTATTTCTTGAAATACATTAAGCCTCTTTGTTTTATATTCTGTCTCTAATAATTCCAATCTAAGAAATGATCATAAATCTGTATTTTTTATATTCAGTGATTTCTTTACTATGAGCGCTTTATCTTTCTTGGAATTTCATCTGTGGAGATTCTTTAAGATTTGGTAGCAGGCAGTTTCTTCAAAACCACAAATATTTTTTGTGCTTGCTTCTATCAGATGTCTGTGGGCACTATCAGTCCTAGACCACTTTAGTTTAAACTAAATTGTTGGCTTGAGGATTTTCAGGCCATCTAGGTAATATAAATTTTGGCTACAAATCTCACAAAAGATGGTTTATGACAGTTTTCAAGGGACATGTCCCTGCATTGCCATTATGCCAAGAATCAAGATAGGCAGTTTTCCTTATAGCTTATGAGGAATTATTTCTAGTTTACCCTTTCACTGAGGATTTAGCCCTTCAGAGGCTCACCAGTGTGTGTGTGTGTGTGTGTGTGTGTGTGTGTGTGTGTGAAATCTCCTATTAAACATCTTATTGGGGAAGGTCCTGGGCTTCACTCCAAGAACCCAGCCTTGAATAACTATACTTGAAGTTAACCATTTTAACTCCCAAGGGTGAAAGGCAGATTTATCACTGTTCATTTCTCCCTTCATTCCCTTCACTCAGTCAACTTCTGCCTTTACTTAGCCCCAGCCTGCATATTCTATACTTTCCTGTTACTTCATACTATACTGAGTAAGTTAATTGTCATATTTTATCTAATGTTTTAGTTGGCTTTAGTGGGCATCTCATTCACCATGTTGCCAGAAATGCATTACTTTTATATTTTTCAAGATCTTTACATCTGTGTTCAGAAGTGAAACTGATCCCTAATTATATTTTCTTGTATTGACCATGTATTGAAGTCATTTGATCTTATAAAATGTATTGGGCAGTGGACTTTCTTCTTTCCATTCTTCAAAACCAGTTTGTGTATGGAAGGAATTACTGGTTCCTTGAAGGCTTTGTAAAAAACTCTTCTGTAAAACTATCTTGGTGTAATGTCTTTTGGCAAAGCAGGAAGAGGCTGAACTGAGTAGTTAGTACCTTTAAGGTTATGGATTTATTCAGGTTTTCTATACCTTCTTAATTTTGACAACATTTTTCTAAAACTTGAAATTCACTGGCACATAGCTCATTATTCTCATGCTTTTAAAAATCTCTGTGATATCTAAAGTTATATCCTGTTTTTTATTCATAATATTATTTTTTCTTTCCCTTTTTTTATGTCTTATTAACAGTTTGTTTATATCATTAATTTTTATCTTTATATTATATTTTGCTATTTAAAAATTATTTTCTTACTTCTTCCTTTAGGTTCTCTTTGGAGCTCTTTTCCTAGTGTTTTGATTTGAACTCAACTCCCTTATTTTCAGTGTTCTTTGTTTATTAATAAAGTTATAACAAATGGATCACTTTAGGCATATCCTATAAATTTTAGTCTTTGCCATGCAGTTTCAAATATTTTATAATTTCTGTTGTGCTTTACTCTTCAATCTGTAAGTTATTTAGGAAAGCATTCATTTTATTATAAAGTCTCTTCATCTGTATTGGTGATGCAGTAGTTAAGGACTTGGCTGCTAACCTTATAGGACAATTCCACTTTGTCCAATATGGGTGCTATGAGTTGGAATCAACTTGATGCAATGGCTTTTTTTTTTGCGTGTATTAACACTTACTGCTTTAAATTCCATTTTCTCCAAAATAATATTGCTTTTAACTATTTTTATTGTTGTTGTTGTTTTCTGGGGGAGTAGTGGGAAGGGCTTGACATATTTTTATTAATCACTTTGTTTTTAACCTTTCTACATAGCATCATTTAGGAGCTCTGGTGGCATAGTGTCTAAGGGATTTGACTGTTAACCAGAGGGCTGGCAGTTGAAACCCACCAACCACTCCTTGGAAGGAAGACTGGGCAATCTATTTCTGTAGAGATACTGCCTCAGAAACCCAAAGAGGGGTTTGGTTATGAGTTGGAATTGACTCGATGGCAGTGAATTTTCTTTCTTATTTTTTTGGTAGATAGTATTATTTAGGTGTGTTTCTTGTAAGCAGCAATATAGCTGTGTTTTCCCCCAACTTTGTTGGTTTAATCTATTTACATTTATGGTATCAATTCTTTAGATTTATTTCTATTATTATTTTGTATATTCTAAATATAACACATTTTCTTCATTTATCCTCCCAATCTTCATCTTCCTGCATCCTATTGGATTACCTACCCTATATTCAATATAGTGCCTAAGGCATTTGACTGTTAACCAGAAGGCTAGCGGTTCAAACCCACCAGCCACTCTTCAGAAGGAAGACTGGGCAATCTACTTCCATAGTGATACTGCCTCGGAAACCCAAGGAGGGGTCGCTATGAGTTGGATCTGACTTGATGGCAATGAGTTTGGTTTTGGTTCTTTTTTGGTGTATATAGTATATTTTTCCTACTTTGAAACAGAATTATTATTTCTAGCTGGGTACACTGCTGACCAGAATAAAAATGCACTTCCCAGCTTCCCTGTCAATTAGGTGTAGCAAGTAAGATGCAGCTAAAGTGTTGAGTGAGACCTCCAAGAAGTCTCTTTAAAAGGAAGGAAGCTCTCCATTTCAATCTTTACACATTTTATTTCTTTTTCTTGTCCTACAGAATCTTCATCTTATTCATTATTTTAAAGGGAACACTAGTGTTTTCCCATAAGAAAGAAGTATTCTATAGGTTTTAGGTATTTAACCTTTATTATTTGAGGAATTTCTCTTCTATTCTTATTTTGCTAAGAGTTTTTTTTTTTTTTTTTAAATCATGAATATATGTTGGTATATTAAATGCTTCTTCTGCATCTATGGGGAAAAAAATAAAAAGGGAGGAAGCTCTAGCTTTCATTTCAGGCTAGGAGGATGACGTCAAGTGCCAGGATGGTAGAACATAAAGACAGAAAGAACTTAGGTCCCTAATAACTTTGGAACTGCCAGACTAGCTCTGGGGTAACTTTTCCTGTACTATTTATATATATATATAGATATATATAAACCCTTAAAAACTCACTGCCGTTGAGTCGGATCCAACTCATAGAGATCCCTCCTTGGGTTTCCGAGGCAGTATCACTACAGAAGTAGATTGTCCAATCTTCCTTCCAAGGAGTGGCTGGTGGGTTTGAACTGCCAGCCTTTTGGTTAGCAGTCATGCCTTAGGCACTATGCCACCAGAGCTCCTGTACTACTCTTATAGGAGAGAGAAAATAACTGCTCTCTCGTTTAAGCCACTAATTTGGGGTCTCTCTTATTAGCAGCTGAATGCAGTTGCTGACAAAAAACTACAGATGGCTCTGGATTTTAACTTTTTATAGGGGCATATTTACCTGTCAATGTTTGAAAGCAAAAGTTGATTATTTTTCCTATTAAGTCTAATATATTTTAAAAAATAAATGTGTTTTATAAAATTCTGTGCTTAACTCTTATTTCTTTTGCCTCATGCCTTCCTTTTTGGTTCTCTTTTCTTCTTGCTTCATGTAGCAGGTTGAAGCTGACTGGCAGAGAGATGCTCAGATAAAAGAGAAGGATTCTAATGGTGTTCTCTTCTTTGGCTCCAGTGTCCTTCCCCTTCCCCTCTGAAAGCATGAATACATAAGCTAACAAATTCCACTTATTTCATGTCACTTAAGGCCAAAGAATCCTGACTAAAAGAATAGATATGTTTTTGTGCTATTTGCCTAATTTATTCACAGTGAAGAAGCCAGAAATACAGTATACATTTAAATTCTTAGAGAGGAAGCTGATTTGAAAAAAAAAAAAAAAAAAAAAAAACACAGGAAAAGTACCAGAAGAGAAAGATAAAAATGAAGCAACTAAAATTAATGAGTCCCAGAATGTTGCCTCATTTATCAAGCTTGTCAAGAGCAGCAGTTAAAAGTAGAAATCTGTTCTTCAGGGGGGGAAAAAATTGACTTAAGTTATCAACAGGCAGTATTAGACACCAGAGGAACAATAAACACCAGAAATAATTGTCAGTAACACATTTTTATATTCCAACTATTTAAAACAGCCTAAGGATAATACTTAAATACTAAACTTCCTCTTGAAACTCTCTCTGACTTTATTCAGTTTTTCCCTAAATACAATATATGGATGGTGCATTACCATCAACTCAATGACATTCTTTTTGACAGGTTGTGTCTTTAGCATAGGGCTACATATATACAAGTGGAGCAAATGTACTTGGTGCCTAACCACAAAGCTGATGGTTCAAAGCCATCCAGGGACCCCTTGAAAGAAAGGCCTGGTGATCGACTTCTCAAAGACCATAGTCACTGAAAACCTACCCAGTGCAGCTCTACTCTGAAACACATGAGGCTGCCATGAGTTGGAATCAACCGGATGGTAACTGGTTTGATTTCTTGGTTTTTGTGTGTGTGTTTTTAAAATCTCACTAAGACTTTCCCTTTGACCATGACAAAAAAGAAAAAAACCAAACTCACTGCCATTGAGTCGTTTCTGACTCACAGCAACCCCTGTTGGGTTTCCGAGGCTGTAAATATCTTTACAGAAGTAGATCTCCCCTTCTTCCTTCCATGGAGTGGCTGCTGGGTTTGAACCACTGACCTCTCAGTTAGCAGTCAAGTGTCTTACCTACTAGGCCACCAGAGCTCCTTTTGACCATGACAAAAAAAAAAACAAAAAACTAACCAACCAACCCACTGCTGTCCATTCAATTCTGACTCATAGTGACTCCCATTGGGTTTCCAAAGCTGTAAATTTTTATGGAAGTAGATTGTCCAGTCGTGCTTCCATGGAGTGGCTGGTGGGTTTGAGCCACCAACCTTCTGGTTAGTAGTCAAATACCTTAGGCACTGTGCCACCAGAGCTCCTTCTTTTGACCATGACATTAGAGTAAACCAAAAACAAAAACCTAACTCACTGCTGTTGAGTTGATTCGACTCATAGTGACCCCTCCTTGGGTTTCTGAGGTGGTATCACTATGGAAGTAGATTTCCCAACCTTCCTTCTGAGGAGGAGCTGGTGGGGTTGAACCGCAACCTTCCTGTTAGTAGTCAAATGCCTTAGGCACTATGCCACCAGAGAGCTCCAGCCCAAACTTAAGAAGAGCATTCATCTGGGGACAAAGATGAATTTCTGGGGACACAATGGTTTCTCCCAGTCAAGTGAAAAAAAAAAAAAAAGAAAATTCTATCATAACGTTTTAGAAATAACCTGCACATATGCAAATAAACACCATTATATGTTTTTTTATTTTTATTTGTTGACAACCATGTCCTTCCCCAAGTTATTTCTGTAAACAAGCTATGCTAATTTTTTTTTACATGCTGCAAAAAAAAAAGGTATAGCTTGAGTTATTTGCATAAGCATGAAAGTACGACGTATATTCTTTAGTGAGAGTAAGGATTATCATTACCTAAAAGGCAAATCACATATGCATTCTCTATAACATGTATCACAAGGGAATTTATGGATTAAGATACATATTTAGAAGAGAAAACAATTACCTTTGATGCAAGGTTGTCTACTAAAGCAATCATAGAATTCTTAAACAAAGTGGCAGCAGTCAGAGGTCGCTTGGTCACCTCTGTAATGCTCAGTTTGCCTTCCGGCCACATATTCTTTAGTACAGGATTTGAACTGAGAACCACAGAAAGAGAAATTCAAATGTTATGTTAAAAAAAGCTGAACAAGAATTGTTAAGCAATCCTGTTGAATTGTATCCTGGGAACAATAACTGGACTACAGGCTGAGAGCTTAGGGCCTTCTCAGATCTTTTCTGAACATACATCCAGCCCTGGGCATGTATATGACTTTCTAGATGCCCAGGAATATATGGAAGATTCAAAGCCCCTTTCTCCCAAATCAACTTATTCCTCAGCTTTTCCTTCCTAGTTTTTTGGTTAGTATATTGTTTGTCTTATTTGTTATTCCCTGCCCCAGGCAGCAGCAATCAACACGTTTGTCTTTAACTGTTTTCAGTAAACTTGTCACTACTGCCAACCCACAGCCACCTCATCAGCCTTGGGAGAGTTCTGAGGCAAAGCAACCAAAAAAACCAGACTCACCGCGGTGGAGTCAGACCCGACTCATAGCGACCCCTCCTTGGGTTTCCAAGGTGGTATCACTACAGAAGTAGATTGCCCAATCTTCCTTCCGAGAGTGGCTGGTGGGTTTGAACCGCCAGCCTTCTGGTTAGCAGTCAAATGCCTTAGGCACTATGCTACCAAGGCTCCCAGGCAAAGTAAAGGCAAGCCTTTTTGACTGGTCCTTTGCGAGCTACCAGACTGAACAAAACAAAGAACCACAATTCTTTGAGAATAAAGTCTCATTCTGTTCCTTTGGTCCTACCTACCAGGAATGTTCAATAATTTCCACATTCTGTGGAATCACCTTTCTTTGGAATGCGTACAAATATGGATATCTTCCAGTCAGTTGGCCAGGTAGCTGTCTTCCAAATCTCTTGGCATAGTTGAGTGAGTGCCTCCAGCGGAGCATCCGTTTGTTGAAACATCTCCATGGGTATTCCGTCAATTCCTGGAGTCTTGTTTTTCACCAATTCCTTCAGTGCAGCTTCGACTTCTTCCTTCAATGACATTGGTTCTTGAACATATGCCACCTCCTGAAATGGATGAAGATCTACCAGTTCTTCTTGGTATAGTGATTCTTTCCATCTTCTTTTGATGCTTCCTGTACCATTCAATATTTTGCCTATAGAATCTTTCAATGCTGCAACTTGAAGCTTAATTTTTCTCCTCAGTTCTTTCAGCTTGAGAAATGCCAAGCATGTTCTTCCCTTTTGGTTTTCCAACTCCAGGTCTTTGCATGTTTCATTATAGTAGTTGGGTTTGTCTGCCCAAGCTGTTCTTTGAAGTATTCTGTTCAGCTCTTTTATCTTGTCATTTCTTTCATTTGCTTTAGCTACTCTCCACTCAAGGGCAAGTTTCAGAGTCCTTTCTAACATCCATTTAGATCTTTTCTTTCTTTCTCATATTTTTAATGACCTCCTGCTTTCTTCATGGATGATTTTCTTGATGTCATCCCACAATTCTGGTTTTCAGTCACTGGTGTTCAGTGCATCAAATCTATTCTTTAGAT